GGTTGTCCCGTTCATCGCCCGCGACGTCGAGGAAATCCGCATTCTTGTTAGGTACGTAGAGCCCTGCGTCCCAGGCTTCTAATCATAAAAATTCCAGTGCGTGTGCGTGCGTGTGTCTGTCTGTCTGTCTATTGTCCTTTCGAATATGCAGTCGCATCGTCGCATCATTCATTCATGTATGACATCTGGCCATCTTCCTCCACATCCCATCTTCTTGCTTGGTTGGAATCTTACGAGAGAACAAGCAGAAAAGCAGTCAGTGGGGGCGATGAAATACTCATGTCATTACATTGAATTGGATCCGAGAATCCGTCTTGATTGATATCTTAGGCCCATCCATAGCAGCAATCGACAGACGACCAAGGGGCGCCTTTTCCCCGCAAAATGAACCACCAGTTCTTTTATCAAGCTCGATTGAAGTGCTATTCCTCTCTTTTAATCCCAGTAGTAGTACATCTCACAAAGACACATGTGGATGGCCTTTGAACTCCGTTCAGTCAACACCACCGCTCGAACTTTTCCGACTGTAGAACATGGACCCCGGGACATTCAAAATTCCATGGCGTCCCCTCCATTACTGGTCCCGTTTCTCAAAGATGCTTTCGATAGATTCAATCTCGATTGACTCTGGTCTGCCATGACCTCCTCGCTGTCGTCTTCACTCTCGTCCCCGTCGATTTCAAAATCGAAATCGCCACGCTCAATGCGACTACACCTATCCAGTATCGCCTGATATTCTTTGCGCAAGTCTTCCAGAGTGATAATCACGCGCCGTCGCTTGCTCATCTTCATCATCTGTTCGTCATTTTGTACATTGATATCTTCTGCGCTCGTCTGGCTCCGATTCGCCGCCGTGCTATCCTCGGTTTCCGCAAGAATATACGCCTCGTCCGGTGCCATGCACGCCATAAGATTGATGAGAGCAAGCAAGACGTGTCTCAATGCTGTGGCCTTTGGATCATGTCGAGCCCGACCAGATTTGCGGATTAATTTCAGTCGGTCGTAAAGGACTGTAACAGCACCACGATAGTCGTGTTGGGAGATGCGTAGAGCGTGCATGACGCTGAGGTAGTCGACTTTGCCATTGCCTGGAGCCAGGCTGGATGCCATCTGAGATTTTGCAAGGGATACAAGGTGTGACTCCATGTGTCGGGTAAGCTGAGGATACATGGCCCAGGGGAGAGATCGAATGGTCCGTACTACGCCTTCGGGCCCGAAGACAGATCCACTTGAACTCAATATCGAGTTGATCAGGGACGTTACTGACGATCGCTGCAATGCTTCGTCAGGCAGCTGAACCACGGCGTTGTAGGCGCGATCGAATCTGGATAGCTTGAGCTCTGCGGTGATCAATCTGGACAAGACTTCGGTACGGAAATTTGGGGTCGGCTCCTGCCCGGCGTGCAGCGATTCTAACGTCAGATGAGCAAACCGAGCTGCTTCGTTGTAAGCTTTCGCAGACTCAAAAATTGTTGTGATATGATGCAAGTAGACGGGCAGGCCGTTGTTGAAACACTCGGCTTCTATCGCTGACAGGAGACCTGCTGAAAGGGCAACCAGGTTTCCAACCGCTTTCCCGCATGCTAGGCCATATGATGCTTTTTGAAAGTAATGTGCTGCCACATCGTGCTCGCCATTCGCAGTAGCCAACCGTCCTTTCACGTAGCTTGACCAGGATGTCGAAGGCTGGTACTGTAAAAATTCTGTGGCAAGGTCGAGTTGGCCTTGTACAAGCAGATCGCATTGAAGGTAGACTGCACCTTCTTCTGGATCCAGTGTATCTTTTCCAGAAGCCCAGTCATCAATCTCCAACAACTGGTCTGTGATCAGATACATCAATGGTTTCTCAACCGCAGGCTGTGGTCGAACAGCTTTGCTTAATGTGTCCTCCATTATGGTAACCTGTCTCTTGTTAGCAGTCACGACATCAGAGCCTCGGCGGGAGGCATTTGGGTGTCCATCAGTGCCAAGTATCTCTAATGGGACCAAGCGTGAGTGCGATGCCAGCCACAGATTGCGGTTGCACAGCCGGAGAAGGGGTGCGATCTGTTCATGTAGTTCCGACGCGTCAAATATCGTCGATTTCGCCTCCTCTTGACTCAATTCGCCTTCCACAAAAACCGCCAGAGCAAGAAGATCCATGAGCACTTGTTTCTGGGAGGAGAAGAAGTCGAGCACACCAGCAGACAAGAGAAGATTCCCAAAAAGGGTATTTCTCAAGGCACTTTTCGCTCTCCTGCTCTTAAGCGCAAACAGCTCCAATACCCCAAGGAAAAGCTCGTTGTTCAGACCAGAGATGCCGCCCATCGGAGAGAGATCAGACTGGAGTCTTTCAAAGGTTTCGTTCGATATGGCATCACCAAATCCTGTACTATCATAAATGTTCAACATTCGTGTCGGAGTCACATAATCAGCGCCAATCGATATGTCTTCTTCGATCGCATCCACAAGATCTTTAGCAAGATCGGAAGAAAGCGATTCCCTGAACGTCCGCGCCGCAGAGATGAGGATGGCCAGGTCAAGGAAGGGTTCTCCGTCGTCAGTGCTGACTTTCCGATGGGGCCATAATCGAGCAGTAGTGTCCTCAAGATCTTGTATGTCGCTGAATGCGTTCTGCTGGAGTAGTTCAAACTTGCTGCATTCTCGAATAGCACAGCACTTGTCTGCCATGGTAATCCACACCATCTCGCTGAAAGCATCGTAGGCCAGGGCTAGTGGAGCATTGCGGTCGTCGTTGACATTTTCCACAATCCTGTAGAAATTGCGCCATTGTGTATCGGTGTCGATACAGAACCGGTCAAAGTCCATCTCTGAGTCACCATACTTCCGAAGTGAAATGTTGGCCGCTACAGTGGTACACATTCGCTGTCTCAGAGGAGCTTCCTTCTGCGAAGCGGTCAACTTTGTCGAAGTCGCATCCTCATATATCGATAACGCCGTGTCAAGGGAAGCCTCTGAGTAGCGACCGGGACGGAAGAAGAAATCCAACCACTTGGAAGACGGATCTTGCTGGTCACCTCTGACAAACTCTGGAGGTACAGTCTTCGTGGACACTCTTGCGTTACATTTGACCCAGTTTGACTTCCATGAGCTCGCCAAGCTGCCCAATTCCAGTTGACAGTTGTAAAGCTGGTGGTAGTTGTGATTCCGCCAGAGCACCCAGAGCTGAGTAGACCTGCGATCGGTGCCAGGATCGAGCTTGAATCCGATCATGGACCAGACAGTGTTTCCCAACGGATCCGGGTCTGGGGCGCTTAGTCTTGTTCCTGGATATCTGTCGTCAACGATAAGGTTGTCTGTGAGGCTCCCCTTGATATCCCAGAATTTGAACTGCCCTCCCTCTTGGGGACTGTAAGTCAACACGGTGGGAAACTTCTGCGCTTCGTCTTCTCTGAACACTTGCAAGAGGGCATCTTCTGCTGGGCTCAAATGGGTTCTGTCGTTGGGATCCCGTGTCATGCCCACCAGGTCTTTCGTAGCAACAATTCTCCCATTGTTGAGGTTCCAAATTCTCAACGTGTGGTTGAGGCACACTGTGAAGAGGAGATCACCATCTGCTGAAATGGCCATAGTCTGGGCTGTTCTTGAGTCCAGCTGGATTGAACCAAACTCGATCGCATGATAACCCCGGCGACTGACGAGCCCTCGGATTGATGCGCCCCATGACCGGTCGTCGTAGTTATCCTGTTCCCAGCCGTCCTGTACAGACCGTCTCTTCAACCGCTGTAACCTTCCGCTAGCAAAGGATATTACCACAACCAAAGGAGTATGGGCATGTATGCGATAGACTGTATCGATGCCTAGGGCGGAGCTTTCGAGTGGCTGGCACCACTGAGTGAGGTTTTCGCTTTGCAGAATACGCGGGTCGCGGAAGGCACTCGTTGGCAGGCGCAGGTTGAAGATCTCGTTTTTGTCGGTGCAAACAAAGGCGCTGATCTCGTCGAGACTCTCTAGGTCTGCAAAGGTAACGCCTCGAGGGATGATCGGATCCTGGAACTCAAACCGGACGGTAAAGTAGGCCTCGTTGACATCGCCCTCGCTTCTTGCAAAATCCGCGCACTGCACGAGCAATACCCTTCCATTGTTTACCACCTTCCAGTAGAACGACCGCGGATATGTTTTTGACGCGCGGAAATATATCGAACCTTGCGAGGCTAGGATATGGGAGGCATAGGAGTGTTGATCTTTGCTCCAGGCCCTGGTATTCTCAGAGCGGGTGGAAGCAGATTTGGGTTTCTCGAACGAGCCATTCTTTCTCGGAACTTGGAGGCGTATCACTGAGTCTGGGGTCGCCGAAGTCACCTGGAACGCTGTCTCGGTGTAGAGATTGAGCATGGCTGCAGCTGTTTGTCTGAGTCGCATCTGTTAAAGGAACATTGTTGTGGGGCACGAAAGAACGGAACGGCGTCCGGGTGCCAAGGTGTTCACGGTTTACATGGTCTACGCGTGCAAGTTACGCGCTGCTCACTCCTCTCCTGGACTAGTGTGATGCTGCCTTACGCCCTCGGCTCACCTTGAGCACGCTGATGCTCTTTTGAATCACTTCGCTTCAGAGCACGCGAGGGTGTCAGTGAGGCCGAACATTGTCACATTTCCTCGCATTCGGCTGAGGGACACTTTGCAAAGGAAGCACTTTGTGGGAGCATTACATTTGTAGTATTGCTCCGTAGTCAACTTCTCTCACGTTCATAACCATTCGTAATGGATATCGATCAGTTGTCGCGGAGACGCATAGACTCGTCCTGTACAGGGTCTGTTCGACACCCGTCTCGATACCACCCACTTATCAATGAAGCCCTATGTGTTGTGACACCTTTCGTAGCACGATTCGTGACACCCTGATACCAAAAAGAAATATGGCAGAGAAGTCGAGAAGCCTTGGTCGCTGAAATCAGGGAGTTTAGTAGGAAACCAAACGGAAACTGACCAAAGACTGACTGAGACAGGCGTTGAGAAGAAGCCCACCAAAAAAAGAAATCCATCTCAGCGCAAAAAGAAAACTCCCCGACAGGGAATCGAACCCTGGTCTCCCGCGCTCGTTATCTGGTGATGACAAGCGGAAACTGTTTGAATGTTAGCTGATGTTGCAATTGCTAGTTGCTCAGATGTGATTGACTTACTCATGACCACTAGACCATCGAGGAATCACTTGTTTGATTGTTGAGAACAAATGCGAAACAAAATATTATATAGCTAGAAAACATTTGTGGAGCTACGTACCCAAGACACGCAGCATTTCTGACCAAAAGACACTCTATAAATTTAAGCATATGCCCATCAGGTGTTAAGCCTTGCAGATACAATAGAATGAATACGACTTTGCTGAGTCTCAGATCAATCCAAGGAATTCTCGATTGCTTCCTGCCCTGTTCCCTCGCACAATCTCCTCATGACTAGCCACGTGCGCTACAAAGCGAAGCTATGTACCGAGTACAGTGATCTTTTTACAACCAGCAAGCTTATCTAAGCGAATTCTTAATCAGCGCCTGGGTGGCGCGAGTATCGCCTCTATGAGGATACATGCTTGATAATAAGCCTGAAGCCCAACCACTTTTGTGTGTATTTCTCCCCATGGAAAGGCATTGGCTTACATAACTATCCATGCCATGAAAGGGGGCGTAAGATCTTCCTTGCCATTCGGGTCGGCCTCCATGACGGACCGGGGTTTGTGGAATCCCAAAATGAGGATAACGGAAAAGATTAAAATACTAAATTTAAATACTCCATGCTCTCGTGCTCCACGACACACAGCAATTCATCTGGAATGCGGCAAATAATCACACTTTCCAACCTCCGAGTATGTTGCTCCTACTTCGCGGATAGCCACAATTCCTTAAGCCCGTCCTTTCCTGATGGGTTGACTGAGTGGCTCGCTCCCAGCATATCAATTCTCGCAGAGATCACACCGAAGCACTCCAGTACTGATCAGGGCGTTGTACATACGAACAAACACTTTGATTGCTACACAGTTCAGCAAAGCAATCGATGCTTGGTTGAAGGCCAAGACAGACCGCAGGGCAAATTTTGATCCTCTACTTGAATCATAGAGCGATTGGAAGAAGGTTGAATGCATTCTAATCCTCGTGTGGTCTTGTTCGTTTCATTTCGTACATAGGTATAAACTCGGTAGATACGCCGAACTCCAGTAGCCATCCCGGAGTACAACCACATCTCAAATCACATCGTTAGTTTGGTCTTTCTAAATCCTCGCCCGTCGTCTACCACCAGTCGCCTTGGTCTCTCATCGCTGCCGCGACCTTAGTAAATCCAGCGATGTTGCTGCCAGCCATCAAGCTGGGGAATTCGTCCTCCTTTGGTGTAACATACGTCTTGGCAGTCTGCAGGCCGTTCTCGAAGCAGTTCTTCATGATGGACTTGAGCTTCTCGTCCACCTCTTCCGCCGTCCACTTGATGCGTGCAGAGTTCTGGGCCATTTCGAGACCTGAGACCGCCACACCACCTGCATTGGCAGCTTTTCCGGGGGCATACCACACCCACTTCTCCTTTTTGAAGTTCCTCTGAGCCTCAAACGCGTCGATCGCAGCCTTTGTGCAGCCCATGTTGCTGCCTTCGGCCACAAATTTGCATCCGGCTGCGATGAGACCCTCAGCCTCCTCACCAGATACTTCGTTTTGCGTCGCCGAAGGAAGGGCCACATCGACTTGTCCCACGTGCAACCACGGTCGCGCACCGTCGATGTATTTGACCTTGCTGCTGAATGCGGAGGTCTCGGCGACCTCGGACAGCTGTTTCCGGTCGACCTTGAGTTTCGCAATGATTTCAATCATCTCTGGGTCGATGCCCTGTGGCGTGGTGGCGATGATGGCTCCTCTGCTGTCACTGAGGGAGACGACAGTCCCACCTAGCTCAATCACTTTCAGGGCAGCATATTGCGCTACATTGCCGGAGCCGGAGATGGCGACTCTTTTGCCTGCGAACGACTCGGTGCCACCAGAGGCATACTTGATCATGTGCTCAACATACTGGTTCGGTCAGTCCAACGCAACTCGCTAGGATGAAGGATGTCTCACATAGACAACACCATAACCTGTGGCCTCTGGTCGGATGAGAGAGCCGCCCCAAGTGCCTGCAACTTGTCAGAAATTGTGTCTTGTCAGGAAGCTACATTGTAAACTTGCCTCCTTTTCCAGTCAGAACGCCTTCCCACGTCTTGGTCTGTTTCTTGTATTGCCCAAATAGCCAGCCGATTTCTCGTCCGGATACACCGATGTCGCCCGCTGTGCACATGGTCAGCCTACCGAATGTACCAAGTGGTCGCGTGGGGCATACCAGGAACATCGATGTCGGCACCAATGTGCTTTCCAAGCTCGCTCATGAAAGACGCGCAGAACCTGCGGATCTCATTGTCTGATTTGCCCTTGGGATCGAAATCCGAGCCACCTTTCCCACCTCCCATGTTCAAACCCGTGAGGGCATTTTTGAAGATCTGCTCGAACCCCAAAAACTTCAGGACCGAAAGGTTCACGGTAGGATGAAATCGGAGGCCGCCTTTGTAAGGACCAAGTGCGGAGTTGAACTGTACACGGTATCCCCGGTTCACTTGGAGATCGCCCTTGTCGTCTTCCCACACCACTCGAAATTGTATTATGCGTTCAGGGATGGAGCAGACCTTGAGGGCTGTCTTGTACTCTGGGTTCTTCTCAAAGAGCGACGAATTCTCCAGACTGGAAACGAGTTCATGGTACGCTTGCTCAAATTCAGGCTCGGAGGGAAGATTGGTCATGTTGTCAGGTTGAGGGTTCAAACGGCAGAGACCAGCAAGCAAGTAGAGTAAAATGGGGATTTGAGGAAAAGCTTGGGTTGGAAGTAGAAGCAAGAGTGGAAGTGGGTGAAAGAAAAATGGCCACAATATAACGGCCAGCAGGGTGAGTCTACAGGAAGTTCCCGCTCAGCCTGATTTGAGCGTTTTCTGTAGTCTACAACTGCAGCTCATCACCTTGGCAGGAGAAAAAAAATCTCCATCAGTACGTCAATTCGAACGGTGACGACAAGGCCTTTGCACATCCATGTTGCAGGTGAAGCTAGTAGGACGATGATTCTGCCCTAGTTTATCTGAACCCTGAGGAGAGAGGTGAGTCTCGAACATGTCGTATCGACAAGCTGTTTGTCAAGTTGGTGTTGACAAAATTCGTAAATGAAAGTACGCGCATTCATTGGTTCGATAAGGGAGAGCTTGTTGATACTCGTTACTTTATAGAAGTGAAGTATGGTGGGGACTGGGGATGGAGACTCAAGGGAGTCAGGCACTCAGGACACCTCGAACGGCGGGGCCAACAGTGCGCCACCGGCGAGGAATCGGGGGTGGCACACAGTTCCGAGGCATGTCAGGGGTCTCCAAGCGTGACAGGTAAGCTACAGGTACGGGCTTTTGACCAGTAGCTCCGGGAGCAGGTGACTCTGGCGAATCTGCACCACCTGCAGAAGCAATAATGACGAACGACCTGCAGCTTTCAGTTCTAATTACCAGGGCCCAAATCCTATCCACGCACCTTATCGAAGCCCCCCTCTTGCCCCTCCTCTTCCGCCTCTTGACTCTTTAAGCGGTGGAGTGCAGGGGCTGGGCGGCTGGTCCTACTTGATCCGATGTCGCTCGACATTGCTTGCTGGGCCTTTGCTGGGCTCCTCCCCCAAAGCTTCGTCGGATGCAGCAACCTTAACGTATCCACCTTCAGGCATCAGGGCCGTCAGAAGCAATACCCTTCGCTAAGAATGCCTGTGACATCTGGAAGCAATGTTTCTCGCTCACGCTAGATACCTACTTGTAAAGAATCCGCTGACGAAGAGGGAAAAAAAATAAGTTACCCCTGTCCATGCTAAAGATTTTTTCTCCACGAAGCCGGGGTACCATTCGCGCTGAGGCACGTGAAGCAGAAAATTCTTTCTCGACTACCACCCATCTCTCGTTCTAAGAAACACAATACTTTGAGAGATACCCGGATTTCAAACCTCTCATGGTCAGGTGGAACGATGCACCTGGTGGCACCAGGGTGGAGAGGTACAGAGGCAAAGACAAGAGGATGAACCCGGGTTCGGAGGGCTTCTCACCGCCCCGGGGCCTTGGATGTCCCACCCTTGACTCATAGAAACTCCCTGCACCAAATACCAGGACGACAAAAAGCAATTGCTTTTGAGCCAGAGACTTTGCATCCCATTTTGCTGCTTGGCCGGGTGAAATGCCATTCGATTGACCCTGTGTGTATCTCGTTCTTTGGCCGGAGATATACCACTTCGCCGTATTCCAAAATGGCTAGAGAAATAGCCAGCTTTTCCATAACGCCCGTCCGGCTTCCACGCGACTTGACAGATACCATCTCCCTCTTTTACGCCTATGCCGAGTCTTTGGGCTTCGACTTATCTTTCCAAAACTTTGACAACGAAATGGCCGGAATGCCGGGAAAGTATTCCCCTCCGCAAGGAGAACTGCTCTTGGCTCGGAATGAGGCTGGGGTGGCAATCGGATGTGTTGGGCTGCGGCCTCTTCCCTCTGCTGGCCTGGGAGGCAAGGTCTGCGAGATGAAGCGCCTCTATGTCACGCCAGCAGGGCGAGGGACTGGGGTCGGTAAAGCCCTGGCCTCCGATATTATCGCTATAGCTGAGAAGCTTGGATATGATGAAGTGAGGCTGGACACCCTGCCTAGCATGACCACCGCGTTGGGTATGTACCGCAACTTCGGTTTCGAGAATATTCCCGCGTATTATGAGACACCGCTGGAAGGGACTCATTTTCTCCGCCTGAAGCTCCCAAGGCAGGCGAAATGACGAACCCAAGCCGCGAATAGGGACGATTGATTGCACAGACATGACTTTGCCGGTCGTGACCCACCTCGACAGGCGAGTATCGTTGATGATTCAGCACCAACCACGGTCCGGACGATATCGAATGCACTATCGTAATACATGAGGGTGTTTTTGTTCCCATTTCTTCACAGCATTGAGAGCAGCCGTGATTTTCAGACCAAGTCGGGCGTCGAGCTCGTACTTCTCCCATCCTTTCGCCTTTTCTAGGTGGTGTTTTGCTTCTTGAACCAGTTTTGCATCATGAGTAAGATCAACCGGAGGTGTCTCCTCCTTGGGATCTCGAATGAATGTGGCTCCATGTTGCTGAGTGTACGCTGTCCTCTGCATCCACAGATTGACTGCCATCTCATGATGTGCTGTTGGAGCCATCCAGTCGTCTTTATTCGAACCCCTGAACTCATGAGCACCTTGAGTCAACAATTTTCTTTTCAACAAGCTCTTTGATTCCTCATGCCAGCGGAGATTCCTGAAGATGACAGCCCTTAGGATGTCGAGGATCGCGTACTCATCGACATCTTCCTTGCTCCAGTTGGGTGTGTTTTCAGACCATTCAAGATTGTCCAAGGACTTCTGCAGCAGCGGCTCGTCCATTTTCTTGAAACCATTCCACAGCAAGATCATCTCATCGAGTGGACTGACCCCGATAGCGTCGACGAAATCGCAGCTCCACCGAGATGCTCGCTCCTCCCATTTCGAGATCTTCCGTACGACGAAGATGTCGAATGGCAGCTGCCTACCCATCATCTTTTTCTTCCCGACCTTTGTTGGAGCTGTTTTAAACATTTCTTCGGCGAGCTTGGCATGCTTTTCCCTGTCACTGCTGGACAGCGTTTTGTCATGGCGGTAGAAGCAAAGGTGGGCGGCCCCGGCAATGTAGTAATACAAAGCGCGAGACCACGCGTTGAGGTCCACGCACGCCAATATAGAGTCCGCACACAATTGGTATCTGTGGGCGTGCATGGCGCTCAAACTCTTTTCAAACATGTGCAGCGCTTCGATCTGCTTCAGTTGACTCTTGCCGGGGTTCGCGAGAATGGCCAAGGCTTGGTCGAGGTTTCGTTTCGAGGCCTCTGTTCTTGCTTCCTCCACGACCCAAAGTTTGCTGTTGGGATACCTTCTCCGCATCTCGACCAGGAGTGTCTCCAGGCGTTTTGTGGGGTATGCCTCGACGTCGTCTGGCTTAGAGGGATCCGCGTCTGCAACAATATCGCAAAAGCTAACCAGCCCGTTGTACCAACCAAACAAAATTAAACTCGCCATCCCGCCATTTATGTTTGGAAATTTACTAGCCTGCCACAGCATTCGGATGCCTCGTTCTCGATCCCCGCGGAAACCGACGATATAGAGGAGTTTGCTGAACGCTGGCGGAATGATGGAGATGAGAAGCGCCAATAAGCCTGACATGAGATTGGTACCCGAGTGGATGAAGACGTCTAGGGAGTTGCTGAATACCTCTGACTCAGGCCCTTCCGTGAGCAAGCCTAGTGTCACTGTTGTCGATCGGCTCAAGGCTTCTTCTGGAAGGTGTTCATCTATTTTCTCAATTTCCAGTTCCAGTTCCGTGGCGTGGTCCGATTCCACGTCTACCTCCATGTTGCCGATGTACTTGTCTGTGACTGCGTTGGTCTCATCTGCTTCGTGGAATTCGTCATCGGAAACACTGTCTGGCGTCGCATCAACGGGTTCGGCATTCCTCAGAGCAGATGGTTGAGCAGGTTGGACTTGGTGATGAGGATGGGGTTCTGAGGTCAATGGGGTCGACTTCCCAGAGATGGGCGAGGGCAAACTTTCGGTCGACTGGTCTCTTGAGACTGCCAGATTGCTGTTCTGCCGATTGCGGTTGAAGTTGATTTCCATTTGCACAAGGCTGTCAAGGGTAATATATGCTTTGCGGAGTTTATAGAACCCTCGCAGAGACTCGGTCAGACTTTCATTGAGCACACCAACCACAGCAGACATGATCTGGGCCTCTGCCTGGCACAATGCAAACTCTGAACCTCTCTCATAGATGGTGGATTGGAAAGCGCGCGAGTCGTGCTGGGCCCTTGCGTGGCTGGTTGAAGCACTGGATTCGGCCTCATAGAGGGTTTCCGAGGCTTCCTTCATGAATTCTTGCTCGAATCCCAAGGCAGCCTTCATAAAGGCCAGTGTGCCTTTGGCAAGTTTGTGGAACGAAGAGTTGCCGTCGGCGAGGCCTGCTTCAGCGCCCTCGATGTCGTCGTCCATGACTCGGTCTACGGCTCGCATGGCCGTCTCTAGATTTTGAGACTCCTCGAGCGAGTCGAGGCTGTGTGTTGAAGCATTGAGCCCGCCACGGCCGCGATCGAACCATCGTCCGACTCTGTGCATGTTGAATGTAGCAAGGGCTGAAACAGCGGGAAGGGAGGAGACTGTTGCAAGCCTCAGTCTGGCCCAGCCAACAAAGCTCCGAGAAACACAAGGCAATCTAAAACAGGGCGATATCTTAACACATCATACTGAAGTTATGAAGGATTTCAAAGTAACTGTTGACCCAAATATTTCTGTAGACGTGAATCTGTCAAGAGAAGTGAGGACAACTAGAGATAAAGGAACGTCCAAGGAAGTTCCAGCCCGCGAACAAGAGGCGAGCTTATTTCTGTTCCGGCCCCAGCGTGCTGGTGAAAAGGCCCAATGGCATGTACTTTGTAAACGTGTGGTGTAAATTGAGCCGTTTGCCCTCCAAAGGATCAATGATGACGAACATCAGGCAGCATCTGTGGAGTTATTGTGTTATGCCCGTGCTGCGGCATCGCATGCCATGCTACATTTGTGCCTCTTTTGTGCGTATTGGAGGCTTGTTTTTGTCACTAGCGTCCTGTCTATCCGAGCCCACAACGGATGTCTAAACTGGCTAATCACAGGCGTGACTGGCTAAACTGGCATTTGAAGTAGCTTGGAGGCTGAGAGGCCAGTCTCAAACACCATCTTGCCACGGCCCACAAGCATCTCACGCATTCCCTCATTCGTTACAAACCCGAATAACCACCCACGCCGCACCTCACACACGCCCGAACTTGCTGAAGAAAAGAGCCACATCCAGTCTAACAAAGGGGAATCCTTGCCTGCGTTTTGATCCTTTGCTGTTCGCTACTAGACCACGTTACGCATTGCGTCCGCTGCCTGCGTTCACTCACACACCACAATGTCGTCGTCTGGCTCTAACCCACCAACGACCAAAATGCAACCTACGCAGAAGACCGAAGTTGATCCAGCCCAAGCATCCAAGACAGCCGCGAATCCGCCCCCAGCCATGCTCGAGGAAGACGATGAGTTTGAAGATTTTCCAGTTGAAGGTATGGAAGCGCAGACAAACGAGGCACAATAGAAGGGGATTATGTTGACATCATTTCGAACAGACTGGTCACAAGAAGACGCAGAAGTACCTGGTGGAACTACACATCTATGGGAAGAGAGCTGGGATGACGATGATGAGAACGAAGATTTCAGCAAGCAGTTGAAGTAGGTTCCAGCCAATGTCCGACAATTTCCACTGCAACATCCCCGAGGCTGACCCTTTTCCACACAGAGAGGAGTTGAAGAAAGTCGAATCGAGCAAATAGAGCACGTTATGCGAGATCAGCGCATTGCATGGCGTTCTGGTATCATGGACTCAAGGCATCAATGGTTAAAGATACGGCATGCTTCCTTCTAGCAGTTCGTGGGTGGAGAAAACTATCATACAACAATGGACTGTCGTGTTTTTTCTTTGCCCCTCAGAGGTTTGGTCTCGCAGTTTCGCTTGCTTCGATACCCATCAATCGTGCGCCTGTCGGTCGTGGAGCATGTAGATTACTTACTCGACAGGGCAACCACACCTGGTAGAGCTTTGCCCTCCAGCAATTCCAAGCTCGCACCACCGCCGGTTGATACGTGGCTCAGTTTGTCCTCCACTCCATACTTCGCGGCGACAGTTGCTGTGTCACCTCCACCAATGATGACAATTTTCCCGGCCTGGGCTGCACTCACGCAAGCATCCAAGGTCTGTTTAGTGCCGTTGGCGAACTTTTCGAACTCAAAAACTCCCGGAGGTCCATTCCACAGGATCGTCTGGGCCTCATCGATGGCTTCCTTATACAATTCGATGCTCTTTTCGCCACAGTCAAGACCCATCCATCCATCTGGAATGCCTTCGGCGTCTGTCGCGGTGCCGGTGTTTGCATCCTTATCGAATTTGTCGGCCGTGATGTAGTCGCAAGGCAAGACGATCTTGACGTTGTTCTTTTTGGCCTTTTCCACCAGCTCGGCGCATTTTTCACTTCCGGCTTGATCGAATAAGCTGTTACCGATCTTGACGCCCTCCAGGGTCTTCTTGAACGTGAATGCCATACCGCCGCAAATGATCAGGATGTTGACCTTGCCAAGCAAATTGTCGATCAACTGGATCTTGTCTGAGACCTTTGCACCACCGAGTATGGCAAGGAATGGCCGCTTGGGTTTCTCGAGAGCTTGAGCAAAATAGTCGAGTTCTTTCTTCATCAAAAAGCCAGATGCTTTGTTAGGTAGCTCTACTCCGACCATTGAGCTGTGAGCTCGGTGAGCAGTGCCGAAGGCGTCGTTGATATACACATCACCCAACGCTGTCAGACCCTTCCGGAACTTGGCAACATCGTCCTTGTCGGCTTTAACTTTGTTGCCATCCTTGTCTTTAGCACTCCCTTCTTCCTCGATGTGGAAACGCAGGTTCTCGAGCAAAATAACTTGGCCGCCGCTGGCTTTGTGGACAACCTCCTCAACCTCAGGACCAACGCAGTCGTCGGTGAATATGACGCTCTTGCCCAAAAGCTTCTCGAGCTCGGGGACGACAGGCTTCAGACTATATTTGGGATTCTTCTTGCCGTCCGGACGACCGAGGTGGGACATGAGGATGACGGCTTTGGCTCCATGTTCAATGGCGTATTTGATGGTAGGTAGAGCACCGACTATTCTCTGATTGTTGGTGACCTTTCTATCGGCATCAAGCGGGACATTGAAGTCGACCTAAACACAATCAGTGCAAACACGACGGTCATGGGAACTAAACATACTCGGATCAAAACGCGCTTATCCTTGAGGTCGATGTCAGTGATGGCGAGCTTGTTGGAGAGAGACATTTTGGACTTGGGCCGGGATAAAAATGCAACAGAAGGAAGCGTGGCTCAATGTGAAAATCGAAGAGAGATAGAGAGCGAGAAGAAAATCTTTATTGAGCTACGGGCTCTGAACAGAAAACTGAAGCACTTGTGAACTTATTGGGAATTGTCGGAGGGGTCAACTCGGGTTGGGCTCAATACAACGGAACTGGTGGGGTGATGGAAAAAACACAGGCGCTTTGGGGTATCGGCAACCGACGTCACAGGCTGCTCACAGGCTGCTTAATCCTCAGCTTGGGGTGGTGTTAGCAAGCAGCATCTCAGCCATTTATCGCTCGCTTGTTTAAGGCCCTGCATGTGGTTTGCAGCATTTGCTATTTTCGCCGAGAAGTGGCACCATGTGAATGATTTGAATCACTATCTGTTCAGAGATCAGATGAAATCTGGCTGGTAGGTTAACGTGCAGGTCTGTCATGGCGGGAGGACTCGTGCTGTTGTCTTTGCCACTACCCGCCGGCTTGATATATACGCAGAGCAGGTACTCTTGTCCAAGTAGATGGGAAACACATCTGCGACTGCAATGAAACCACTTTCTACTACTGCCTTCTATCCAATCCCAGGTTTGAATTAAATCGGCTTTCATGGAATTTGGGTTCGGCGCTGAAGGGTGGGTGAGATGGTCATGCGGACCTCCGACACTCCGTCGAACAGGCTCTCGGCGTGTCGAGGCTCTCAGGCTTTCTAGGCATCGCTTGCCATGCCTGCCACCACCTCCTGGTGAGCCTCTCCTGCAGGTCTGGCCCGAGGCCTCACTAACCTCTTGCTGCGCACCTGTCACCACCAACCTCATCTTTTCCTTTACTTGCACAGAGACACGATACATCCACGACCTTTGATGGGCAATAGCCAGAACCCTGATTTCCAGTAGTACAAGACACCCTCTCCTTAAAGTTGGCTGCGCTCTTCCGACACCATCGCATCGAATTCAACGCCTGGTACTTGGTCCACTGCAGCCTGCGCCCCAGTTTAAAGACACTGTCGTCACAGACGTCCCTCACTTCCCTTCGTTGACCTCATCTTTCCACAATATCCAAGACTCCCCTTCTGTTCGATCTCTTCCCTCCTCATTAATTTCCCTCTCTCCACCATGCTGGACATCTCGAGACGAAAGTCGTTGGCGTGGTTGAACAGTACTTATATATATGGCCGAATCGTACGTCAACCTCTTTTTGATTCTGCACTTGACAGTTCTGTTTCCCTCTTGGTAAAGCTGACTTGCTATCTTCTAAACAGCCATTATTACACACCATTCTTTTCCTCGTCGAGTTAGCAATGGCCGCCCGACTCGTCGCCAAATTTAACTCCTACTATGCTCAGAAGCCTGTCCTAACCACAATGATCACGAACGCGGTATGTGGATGAACCTGCAACAGTTGGATGATAGCTGAAGGTCAAACAGATTCTTGGAGGCATTGCAGACACGGTGGCTCAATCAATAACCGCAGTTCGAACAAGGCAAGCCATGTTACCGACCACGACCGATTCGAGATACCTGATCTCCTCCGGTGTCGAACTCGAAGATTTGAACGAAAAGCCTGCAAGGCTGTCGCCTGGTCTTCCCCCTCGAAGCAATGGGCCTCAGTCTTTCGATTTCGAACGCCTGACTCGATTCATGTCATACGGGTTCTTGATGGCCCCAATCCAATTTCTTTGGTTTGGTCGACTGACCAAGTGGTTTCCTATCACCCCCAAAAGCGGCACACTTCCGGCACTGAAGAGAGTTGCTATGGACCAGTTGATATTTGCACCTTTCGGTCTTTGCTGCTTCTTCACTTTCATGACGGTGGCAGAAGGAGGTGGAAGGAAAGAGGTTATGACCAAGTTCAAGGACATCTATCTACCCACGCTGAGGGCGAACTATATCCTCTGGCCTGCCGTACAGATCCTCAACTTCCGCGTCATGCCCCTGCAATTCCAGATCCCCTTTGTGAGCACTGTGGGAATCGCCTGGACCGCCTACCTCAGTTTGACGAATTCAAGTGAGGACGAAGCACAAGCTCTCCAATGAAACTATCATGCCGTACACCTTCTGTCAGCAATGAGATACCCAATGATCAGCATCAATGGCGTTTTGAGGTGGTATGGTGATTCATAAATTGTACATGTTCGAGCGCACACCCACTGAATACCAACATATCCTCGTCGGCGCTTCTCGGTCTCCGTTTGTCAGTGAGAAGTCGTCCTCTTTTTCGCTTGGGTCAGCGAACTTGCAGTGTCCTGCGTGTTTCTCGGTCACGATCGCGAGACTACATACTCAGCGACTACCAGCTTCAGGGTGCAAGAAATCAATTATGCGTCCTCATCAGCTGCCTGTACTCTTGTGGCACGTTTGTCATCGCGGCGTCCACCGTCGATATCGATATCGGCGCCAGAGGACGCCTTGACATCTTATCCAACAATGGCACTACGTTCTATCTTCCCTTCCATGTGAGCTTCATGACTGATGAAGATCAGTTGCCCACAGTTTTTGGCTTCTTTCGTTGTTATTTTATCTCGTGATAAGATCTGCGTCCTTGGGGGTTAGGTCGGACTGCAAGAATGCGGCACCCCTGCTACTGCCCGCCGTTGTTGCTGCCCCGATCCAATTCAGAAGACAACCTCTTTCGTCGCGGATAACTCTCTAGCTTCTATGGCCTCAAGTGTGTATCATTCTATTTTCAACCTGGCACATGTATCAGATAACCTTGCACAGTAAGTCATCGTTGTTTTCCTCCTTCCTACATTTCCTTCCATCAGCAAAGAGTTGTGCTGCGTTTCCAACCAAACCACCGATCCCTAATTTTCAGACCCTGCCTTGCTACCCGTGCTCTTGTACACAACACTTCACATCGGTCCCAAGACAGTTCTCGCTGCTGCTGGGCGCACAAGAGAGTGTCAGACACTAAACCGAATGAACATTTCAGAGAAGTTCAGGATCGGGTAGTGGAGACATGTTGTGTTGGGCAAGGCTGAGGGACGAGGCTGCCAGTCTTGTGTGAGGACCTGCCTCACTGCCATCCCGTTTGGGACCGACTTGGCCTCGCCGCCAAACCTCCTCTCTCTTCGCCCACAGCTGTCTCGTTCCCAAGGTCCTGAGCTCCTATGCCTTGTCCGGCCTGTGTTACACGCTGAACGAGCGGATGCGCGTTGACAGAGCGGTATGTCCTCTGGTAGCCTCTGGTCATAAGGCAGCTCGACCAGCTGTTTCGAAAGTCAACCGCTCACGCTGCCAAGTGCCAAAACTGCGCTCATCCGCAGGCTAACACTCGTGCTAAACAAATTGAGCCAAAGATTATCGCAGCTCCCACAGATAGCGCCTTACGAGCATCACTGTCTCTGTTGGTAAGACTCTTGAGCACCAAAGCTTCTCACACTTTTCCCTGGGTTGTTGTCCCTCAAAGGACATCTGGTTAGCGCAAGCCTGGGTTGATGCCACAAATTCGATCTGTTGACGAGGACGTTCTCCTTGGTGCTTCAACCAAAGTCTACATCATGCACAGGAATCTCCCTCAATATAAAAGGCTGCAGCATCCCTGCACCAGAGAGACATTGCGACCTCTCCTGGCAATTCTTCATATCAGGACTTGGACGCCTCATCGTCCTTAGTCAACTTGACGAGGTTCTTCCTGCTTAGGTTGCTGCCATGAAATTACCTTGGATTGTCTACAATGTTCTGCTGGTCGCTGTCTGCACAACGTACCCCTCCTGCTTCGCACAAGGGGCCACTGTTATCACCTCATTACTGACGATAGAAACCATAATCACCAATCGGTACACATCATTGCTAGCCGCAACGGTCACTCAACCGCCAATCACAGTGACTCAGATCATATCAGCTCCGGTAGGGCCTGCGTCTACAGCGGCCTCTCTTCCTCCCCCCACCCTTCAGCTAGCTCCGGTACAACTTGCGCCTACTCCAGCCGCCAGTCCTCCACCCATCGTTCAGCCGGGTTTAGTAGTGCCTGCACCTCCTGCGGCCGCTTATCCTGTGCCCGTCGTTCCGCCAGTTCAGCCGGTTCAGCCCGGCGGGAAGGTGTCGCATGGTGGTCTCAGCGTACCAAACCCGTTTGATGCGGTGGGCAATATTGTTGGCGGTGCGGCGAACGCTGCTGGAGGTATTGTTGGCGGCGCAGCTAATGCTGCTGGTGGTATTGTGAAAGGTGGAGCTGGGCTTGCTGGCCAAGCTGTCGATGCAGCTGGCAATGTTGCTGGAGGTGTGCTCGGGGGAACCCATCCGCCACCGTTACCAGTGCCGGTACCGGTGTCCATGCCAGGGGCACCAGGGATTCCAGGGGCCCCCAGTGTTCCAGGAGTCGTGGGAGTAGGAGCCCTACCAGGGATTCCGGCAGCTCCAGGGATACCAGGCCTGCCGGCGGTTCCAGCTATCCCTTCTGGGGAACCCGTACCGGTTATTACCAGCCCCTGCACCTGTCCCTGTCCCTGTACCTGCCCCAGGGTCAGTGCCAGATTCCCAGGAAACTTTACCACTGGAATTTCCTCTTCCTGCTCCTCCGACTCTTGGTCCTGGGCCAACAATACCGTCGGGGCTATTGACGATTCCTAGTGACACTTCTGTCCCTAGCCCTACAGTTGGACCTTATGCGTCGCCTGCAGTGAGTATGTCTATGACCAAGACGTCAACGAATACTCCTTTAGTATCATCGGAACCAGGGTTGGATCCTACAGCTTCGAGGGCTGTAGTCCAAAGTTCAACTTCCTTCATGACCACTTCCAGACCAGCCCACACTACATCAGTGTCAGCAGTGATCTCTTACTTCACCGAAACTCTCACACAGCCAGGGACTCTTAATGTTGAGGTACATGGAACAGTGACGCATATTTTTCGAGGCAGTTCGTTCTTGTCACAGACTTCCTCACAATCGTCTTCGTCGTCATCATCGCATACCACATTGTCAACTTCCACCCAGGCCTCCTCAACATCCAGGGGATCTGTCTTGATTGGTCCTTCAGATGCTCCTCGCAAATTGACCCGCACATTCGATCCCTCACTTCCCGCACCGACGCATAGCTGTCCACGGGATGCCATAGCAGCTCTAGCACACTACCGTGACTATTGCAATAATGCCGGGGCCGGCAGGATAATTCAGAAGACATACTGTGTTGGTGAGCCTAAGGTGGCATCTTGTTGCGGAGCGTGGACGCAAGGGCCTGAACAGTCAGTACAAAGGCTATGAAACTATTCGTCAACGTAAGATGGGTGAATCCCCCGACCCGAGAGCTCCTCTGGAGCAACTGCCGTTTGAATGGAATCTGCACGAAACAAGAGATGTCGGGGTAATGTTATCAAGCGGGAGGTATGTCGTTGATTGTTCCCCATGCTATTTCCTTCCAAATTTTCTCTCCATTGGGAATATCATTCCTAGGTGAATGGTAGACTTTCTGAGACACCCTGGCCTTTGTACAATTCTATACGAGCCCCCCTTGACCAAATGGCACGCTGACAATGGCTGAAGGTGATCAAACAACTGCCGCAGGAGTTCAACCTAGATGTCAAGTCATGTCGCGTCTGGAGAACTACGGAAGATCAATTCACCTTTTACATGCAGAATTTCTTTAATTACGGTGTTTACGATGTCGACGAAACCGGGCGAGCGATTGGTACAACATATTTCTGGGAGTGGGAGCCAGAAGGGCGTTGGCCTCCTGACCCAAAGCGGCGCAGAGAAGGAACTATGGGCTCAAAGCCCAAGATAGGGAAACCGAAGTCGGGCAATGGAGGCAACACACAGCCAGACAGTCATCCAACCCTAGAAGATTTGATCGCTGACTATGACAAACGCAGAGAGTGGTTTAAAGAACGGCTTGGGGAGAGTGAACTACATCTTCAGGGCGCAAAGGACAAGGCGGGAGAAGGATGCGCTGTACATCTTCCACCAGCCAATTTCGCATCCAAGATCGAGAAGTTTGGCATGCGCACCGACGCGTTGAATGACCATTTACCGTCTAGGCCCTCGAAGGAGGTATGGCAGCAAAAGAGAGATCGGGATTTGGCTCGTCACGTTTGGAATGACTTCTTCGCACCCCTCAACGTTTGTGCTGGGACTTTGGAGAGCCGTCTTCCTTCCAGACCCGAGCGCTCCGAATACAACAGCGAACAGAAATGGATGGTTGCTGAAGAGAATTGGATAAATCTTTTTACTGACGAGCCACCCGAGAAATACAGAGGAACAGTTCCGAAGCCCGATCGCCCTCAATGCCCAAAACCCGCCATGAAGAAGCTGGCCAAACTTGGAAAGGATTTAAAAGACGTGGAGAACGTGCCCAAGGAAGATGCCAAATGGGCACCGATGGATACGTACGCTGCCGAGCTTCTGGAGCAAAAGATGTGTCGAGACCAAATACTCATGGTCCTCGCCAAACCTAGAAGGAAGGCATACTCAAGCTTCCGAGGGTGGTGGTCCGACCGGCGCAAATGGAAAAAGTACGTGGCAAGCCTTGAAAAAGGAGGGGGTGTTCCGCTCCCGGAACTGGAAATAGACAACCTCAGCAACGGACAATCTCCACAGGATCAGACGACGAATGACCAACCTAGAAGGGGTAAACTTCGCGGAAAGTCCTTTCCGCGCACGAAACTCGATCCCATTCCTGAAGCTGATGAGCCGGAGCAAGGAGAGGGGCGTGCCAATGGAGACAGTCCCGCAGAAGATGAAGGAAGAGTGTCACAAAATAATGTCATTCGAAATAACCGTCAGCTCGGGACCATTTTCGAGGGGGACGAGGCAGACGTTGAGCGCAAGCGGCCCTCCCAAGACAACGTTGGTGGACGCAGGCCAAGAGGCAGAAATAGACAGGGTGCGGATAACATCAAGAGGTCCTTCAGGGCCTGAAAAGGATAGTGAGTCGTGGTAGAAGAGGCGGTCCTCGCTGCTCCAATTACTATTGAATTTATACAAGTACAACCTTCCATCTTGTCGAAACCTGACGAGGCTCTAGGACTCAGCAACCCGTTTTCTATGGGGTGTGGTGCTATTGTTCAATGCAAACCCGGGGCCTTTGACGTAGAGAGCAATGGCCGTTGACGAGCTGTAGTCACTTTTCTTTCTCTTGCTCTTCCAGCCACGAGCCAAACTTGTCCAATCTGCCGCCCTCTCCTCCTTCTTCCTCATCGTCTTCGTCGTCAAAGCTGACCTTCTTGTCGCTTGATTTCTTGAACTTCTCTCGACCTGTTGCAATGAACGCCTCTAGTTGTCTCTCATCGAACCATCTTCCATTCATTCGCTGTCCTCCTGTTAGCATCGGCCTCCAAACAAGTATCGGAATGTCATACTTGGACGCAGGCAGCTGCAGCCTGAGCATCCGAGAAACGGACACTTGCAACACCTTCAGCTTCCTGGTCGAAGAGGACAACGTTTGTGACTTGGCCCAGCTTCGAACATTCCTCGCGGATGTCTTCTTTGATTTCAAGCATCGCCGCGGGATCCTCCTGGACTTCGGTCAGTTCTGCACCACCTGCGCTAGCGCAGAACTCTTTACCTCTAACTCTTGGAGCGTGAACATATGCTTCAGTATTACCACCTTGTCCCACTTGGAGCTTGTGTCCTTTAGTGTTTGCGGGTCGTCGTCATCCCAATCCATGAGTTTACTGCCTCTAGATCAGCCTCGGGGTCCAATTAAAATGATTGGGGCAAGCATACGCCTTCATCTTCTCTGTTTTTTGGATGACTTTTTTTTGTTCTCTCTTGCTTGTTTTTGGGGGGACATCCTGTTGACTCTTATATGAGAAATCTGCTGCTTGGACTCTCATCCTGCCCATTGGACCTTGCGTTCCCAATCGGAAATCTGTGTCGTCAAGCATTTGAACCGCAAGATTGACTGATTCGGGTCTGAAATAGACCACGAGTGCGTCACCCTTGAATTGGCCCTTGTCATCCTCGTACATCTTGATTCGTGGTTTTCCAGAGTCGATCTCTTCTGCGATGACACCACATTTGGAAAAGACATGTTGGATCTCTTCTTGGTCGGCATCGAGAGGTATCGAAGTCACGTAGACGGCAGTATTGACTCGAGGCTTTTTGGATTTGTTGCCGGACTGATAACAGCTGGATTAGCGTCTGTTTGTGAGGTCCCTGGGCATGCGTACCTCATCGCCGTTTGGCTGTTTCCGTTTTTTCTTCTGTGAGGTGGTTGTCGCATCCTCGTCGACACCTGCAACCTTGTAGATTTCACCTTGTTGGTCCAACAGTGACTGGTCCAGCTATAACGAAAAGACAACAACATGGAGCAGGTTAGAATCTGTTCCTGACACCGTAGTGCAAGAATGTTGTGGAAATCATGGAGGGCGCAGTATATATTCTCGGAGGTCTCATGTTGCGAATTTGCCTACCACTGGTATCCATCTTTTCAGAGCAGTGTCCCATTCGAACTCGTTGCCCTCGTCGGTTTCGAGGATGAACTTGTTGTCGAGTTTCGACCAAGAGATTCGGGGGTCACTATCGAACGCGGATGGGTCGAGAGGGAGACCGGTATATATGCCCTCTGTCGAGCGATGATCTTCTTCGGCCATGTCGGCGCTGGTTGCGTGCAGTATCTTCTGATTCTGAGCATCACGTCGGCCACGACCAGGGAATGATGCATGCGGTCAAACTTCGGGACAAAAGTGGCAAACAAGCCAAGGCTGTCCAAGTACAGACTTCAGCCTTGTAAAGAGAGAGCTTGCACTGACAGCCTTACCTCCCTCGAACCAACACCCCTTGAGGCTGTACTTGGTCAATCAGCCACAGCAAATACGAAGAAATACCCTATGAAGAAGTATATACCATGACGTGCTAATTCAAGGTAAATTATACCCTCAATTCTTGCTTACAGATCGAAAATTCACAATGGATGTCGGAGACACAAACATGTCAGACGAAGCATATTGATCTAGACAAAGTTGCAGGCTAGAGTAACTAAAAAGGTTGGATTTGAACTGGGTATCCAACAGAGCACACTTCAGGAAGACAATACGGTGACCCAGAATGGCTTTCCCCCAAAGGTCGACGCTTGATAGGACGAGGTTTAAAAGCACATATACTGTGGTTTGAGAGGCAACGGTCAATGCACGCTGAGAAAAACCCGTTTGTGGATGGATATTATTCTCCCACTATTAATGAGACTCGAAGTCTCGATCGCTCTATGTGCTTGTTAAATCTGAGCTTCGAGACCGTCGGCCTGGAAAATCATAATGGCTGTTTAGTTGTCAAATCGTTTGCTGCAATCCCTCCCGTACCTATGTCATCCCGTCATATAAAAAAAAAGGGAAAGAAAACATGTCCATTGAAGGCCCGTGATACTCAACGAGCATAGTATTTCTGAAGAGGGAAGCGCTTCGCAACTCTCCTGTCGACGTAGACGCAGTGTTATATCGTGCGAATTCCTTCCTCGCCGATGTCGACATCGCCACCGGAGACGCTTCGTGAGGCTCTTGGTCCGTTGGCGAGCGCGGAGTGATCCTCAACGTCCGGAGACGGCAGCGAAGAAGCACTACTGACATCAGAGGCCTTGCGATCATGCGTCGGCCTCGACTCCCGTCGATCAATGGGGGAGATTGCCCTGTCGAAGCCTGAGATGTGCTCATTTCCCAGCGCCATTTCTCCCTCGGGAATGGGCGCGAAACCAGCGCTTGCGACGCCTACTGACGTGGTGTTTGGTGATGCAGGAGAGTTGGAATCGCCGGATTGTGAGACCGAAGAGGTGCCCGTAGGCCTGTTCTGGCCACCGCTGACGAAACTAGGCGGGTACATGGTCATATTACGAATATCATAATTGATGTCATCAGGACGCGTGATTCGAGAAGACCCATGGACCTCGTGCACCTCAGTGTTTGGGCCTTCGACTGGGCCGTCGTATTCACCTCTTGGTGACCGCACAGGCGTGGATGACGACCAGCGGTCCGGGTTACTTCCCGGGTCTTTGCTGAGAAAATACTCCGCCGGAAGTTCATGAGGAGCTGTTTGGATCATGGGTGTTGGAGAATGGGGACGTTCTACCTCAGTGACCGATGACTCAGTTCCAATGTCTTTGCCAGGCACAGCTGAAGGCGTCGACCGTATCCAGGACAAGATACCGCTCTTTCTGTTGTGCGCATAAGAGTCCTCTTGCTTTTGTTGGTCCCTTCTTGCCCTTCGGCAGCAGAAGAAGATGAGACCAGCAAAGAAAGCAACGCCAACCACAACGGGGACCGTGACAGCAACTGGAACCACCCAGCCCCTGTCCTTGTGTGATGACGGACTCTGGGTGGGCGTGGCAGTAGGGGTATTCGTTGAAGTGCTAGAGGTTGCATTGTAGGGTGCCCACGTTCTGATAAGGTCCTTGTTATATGCCTTGTCGAACCAGCCGGCAACCAGAGAAGGCATCCCGCTGGCAGTCGGCGTCGCAGAGATGACACTGGCCACAGTCGCAGCGGGTTTGTAGTCATCATGAACTTCGGGATCGTATTTACCTGTCCAGGTCAGGTCGTTCAGATTGAAGACGTCGACACTGTTGTTGCTGTCCAGCCCGGCGCCAAAGTCTCCGGTTCCGCCAATAACCATCATTTGGTCGGGGTATGGAGATACGCAGACATGACCTTGTCTTTTGTGTGTTCCAGCTCCATCAGTGTTTGCCCTGATCCACGTAAAGGAGGGCACGCTCAAAATCCACACTTCGCCAGATGCCGGGCCCCCATTGCTGTCCCACCCTCCATAGACGAAGATTTCATGGTGAGAATAGTCGGCGCTGGAAGCGACAACGGTGCAGAATTGCGCCAGTGGGCCATCGGGGATTTCAGATCCTGGGTTAATCGGTTGAATACTCCAAGTACTGGATCCAATATCGTAAACGGGAAATTCAGTCAAAAAGCTCTGAGCTACCGTGATGTCTGTTGTGTTGTCTGTCTTGAGGTATCCATTCAAATCCGCAGGATAGACGACACCTCCAATAGCAATCAGCAGTCCTTGAGTCGAAGCAGGAATCCAGACAAGAGCACCCTCGGAGCGTAGTGTGATGTTACTAAGTGTTAAGTCCTCTCGCGACCAGTCCGCATGTCCTTGAAGCTTGGTGTCCACCTTGATGAGCCATGGAGAATAGTCCTTTGGTGGGAGGAAATAAGAGAAGGCTGTGCCATCTGCATTGTACTTCCCACTGAAGTAGAAGCTGAGGTTCTCACTTGGAGCATTGGCTCCCGCACCGTTGGTTATGTCTTTAATAAAACTCCCACTCTCAGGCGAATACGCGATATTTGGAACGCCTGCCACGACATTCGAATCCGGCGGGATGTCGTAGAGAGGAACGCTCACTGTCCGGTCTGTGACGGTGTCTCCGGAAACGTAGTACATGCCCCTCGAGAAAGTGTCAACTTCACAACGCCATATGACAGGGTGCGGGAAATTTACCCATAAGCGTAAAACTCATCGTAGTCGGCGAACATATATCCATCGAGATAGTAGTTGCTGAGCGGCCCCTCGTTGATAGATTGGAATATCGCAGGGTTGGCCTTGGTGGTATCAAACGGCTCATGCAGGCTGAGCTTGTACAAAAAGCCCTGAGAGGAGGTAGAAGACTCCAATGAATCCCAAACACCGTTGGTATACACCCCGGTTTGCATATAACCACCTTCAAGATACACATTGTCTCTGATCAAAGCAACTCTCGGCCTGTCCCAGAGACCTATGTTGCTAGAGTTATGATCACATAGAACAACGCCAGCGAGGGTGAGTACCCACGCGCCGTAATGCAGTATGGACAACATGGCTGCTGGATGGATTCGAAACCTCAAATGTACCGAGTAGAGTTCAAAATTGGACCATGAGGCTCAGGTCTTCCCTCAGGCTATAGATACGGCCTTCCATCAGTTGCAAAAGAAGTTGAACGTGCAAGTCGGGAGTTTCCCACTACTACAGGACATGACCGGCTCAGATGATCGTGGTCCCTGCGGCAATGGCACGTCGGCTAGCAGAGTCTAGTTTGTGGCGAAGGTATCGGAGAGCCAGCGGATTCAGACTTGGAATGTCTTCTCGAAAAACCATCCACAGACATCTTGGAATAGCGATGATCCAGACCGTGGTAGGCAAGGGGCCCTTCGCTCGTGCATAAGAGGTGGGTGGTCTCAGGCCCAAGGTTGAGGAAGCCTTACAAGCGACGTCTCCACACCCGGAAGACAGAGGGAAAGACACAAAAAGACGGGAGGTTGGGCGCAAGAATGAGCCTACCAGATTTGGCATCGCAAGCAGACTGTTGCAAGGGTATCTTGGAACAAGCAAGGATGCTCACTGCATGCACTGAGCCCGGGGCCGCGAGAGGGCGGGCAGGAAAAGGAAGGCTGGGGCAAGCTAAGCCCTTCGACTGGGTTGGATCGATTGGAGTTGGTCGGCTTGCTTGCACCAGAAAAAGATGGTCTTTGCAGAGACAAGTAACAATACAGCCCCCACAGCTTGGTTTGGTGAAGAGAGATCCTCGGACAATAATAATCAATGACAAAGCAGAGACCAGAACCATTGTGGGTGATTTGGAAGGATGCGATAGAATGGTGCTCGAACTGCAGGATAGGGCTCAGCCTCATCGCCATGTAAAAGATCGTGCATCGCCTCGAGTAGTAAGAGCCCATTCCTTCAATCTTCCTCCGTTTCCCTCCTCTTGTGCGCTACTAGGAGAGCCATCTCCTCCCTTTTCCATTTTCCTCCTCTTGTGCGAGACCAGTACGCGAGAGAGTCAATCCACTGCTGACAGGCACCGAAGTGTAAGGTGATGGGTTGCCTCTTCGGTTCGTAGGACGCATCCACACTGACATGGGGTTCAAGGATGGTTTGGTTGTGAGGTTGAAGTGCGCTGTTCACTGCCAATGTTGGCTGTGTGGCTGCGAATAGCGTTTGGCGCCCCCGCACGGGACGGCACAGGGCGGCGACGACTTCGCTGCCAGGTGAAGCAGTTATTCGCTGTCAAGCTTCACGTGCCGTTGATTTTGCCGATCTTGGGGCCTAGGCAACTGCTGGGCCCGGAGCTGAGAACGCATCTGAGTGCAAGTGGTTTAGGCGGGGGGCCTCGTATTGTAGGGAGCCACCTCACCACCTTTCCGGTGCCTGGTGCAGCGCTGTTGGCTACCCACGCTATTACCTCACCGTCGCTAGCCTCCACTTACTCGGACTGCTGCGCTGCGGCGACTCTACCAGCAAAAACTCTGTTCTACCTACTCCATCAGGCTCCATTACCAGGCTGACGACTGGAACCTGTCAGCATCCTTTCGGCGCCGCCTGAGAAGCCTACTCGTACAAAGCACGGGAGTCCTCCGCATCCATCTCAGCTTATTGCCGCTGGTAACATGAATGAAGAGCGCGATGCACAGATGATGTTTTTTCGAACAACTCGCAGTTGGGAGGGGAAATCCAACCCTGTGCATGCGTCCTGCCGCCACGACTCGGACCTTTTGCCTCCCCGCCTTTCGCTGCAGTCGCTTCGAGAGCCGGGCCAGAGCCCTCCGACTGAATAGCACAGAGGCTTGCATTTGTGCATGGGATCGGGGGATTGACTACTCTAAGCGACCCTTCGAAAGCGAACAATATTCTTGAGAGAGAAAAGAAAAAATCCCGTCTCACACCACACCAGCGTCCACTGGCTTGTGGTTTTTCTCCGCAGCCATACTCTACTGGGCATTCTCAGCCTCATCCCAACCACCTTCTCAACGCCCCAGGTGGATCCATTCCGCGAGCCAGGCTCTAAATAGTTATGGTGTCTTTCTTCGGCATTTGTCCGTCTTTCGAAGTCTGAGTTTAGGGCTTAGATTAATTGGTAGCTTTGTCCGTTGTGATCAGGGATAATTCTTGTGTAACACAAGTTCACAGCCGTGTCCGCTTCTTCCACCTCCAGGCCAACACTGCGAGCAGCTACTCGAAATACGCCCCCAAATACTATCTGCGTTCTTCAGATCCAAGTGACCAAGATGGAGGACTCAGGATACGTACTCAAATCATTGCGCTCAATCGCTTTTGCTGGACCTCTTACAAACTGCGGACTTCAGCCCGCCGAGTGAGAACTGCAGCCTCCTCCAAGCATCGTAGATATTTTATCGATTGGCGGCCTTTTGGGGTCCAAGCTCCTCGTCATTTGCTATGCCAAAGCAGGTTTGATCCCGTCCCGCAGTCGGTGGCTGCCTCAAGACAATAGTCGCAGCAGGGGTTGGTGAAAATAGTTCACTACTTGTAGGCCTTGTACACGTGCACTTGCACGGCCTAACGCTGGCCCGCTCTACTTTGCCCGATATGCAAGCCATTGATCTGTCGGTACTAGGTAGCATCGCTTCCGTGGGGACACCGCCCATTGTGGTAGTTATGACGCGGGACTGAACAGGAACAGGACAGGACCTGCAAACCTCATATATCAGACAAAGTATGGATTGACTCCCAGGATTTCCTCGCGTTCTTCTTCCTTCAGAGATCTCCTCTGCCTCGCTGTCGCTATTCCGTCATTCGTTGTACATTCGCTCATCCCAATATGGACGTGATGAGGCTGAAGCTTGTCGGTCTTGCCGCCTCTCTTCTTGTCACCCTGGCCCAGGCCGGCAGTGGCGGAGATGACGGCTGGGGCTCAAGCTCCTGTGCTACTGTCTACTCTACCGTGTGGTCGGTATCAACAGAATATGTGCCAACCACGACAGAGAAGATCGTTTACTCCACAGAGACCGACTACGTGACAGTCACTACAACCGACACGGTCTATATCACCGACACAACTACTCAGATATCAGTCCAGCCGACCACGATCGTCAGTCCAACCACCATTGTCAGCGCTACAACAATCGTTGAAACCACCACCGTCGTCGTACCAACAACCATCGTTAGCCCAACAACAATAGTTAGCGTGAGCACCGTTGTGAGCGTCCAACCAAGCACTATCACAGATATTGTCCCTACTACCGTCGTCAGTGTGAGTGCCACGACAGAGACTGTCTCGACATACCCAGGCCTTGTCACGTGTACCTCAAGGGTCGTCAACCCCACTTATACTCCTAAAGCTGCTCTACCCACCAATTACCTGTGGGGATGTGCTCCTGGCACCATCTGTACTCCTCCACAGATTGGCTGCAACTGGGAACAAAATCCCCCGGCTGATACCTATGTTTGCGCTCCGGAAGAATGCAAACCCGTTCCTCAATTGTTCTTGCCAGCGAACCTCAGCTCATTGTGGCCAAATCCTACCGACACCACGTGTGCTTGGGAAGAACCAGCTCAGGGCTACTTCCACCTCAACCCACAGCACTTTGGACTCAGCTTCGCCATCTTCGATGTCTTGGGCCAGCCACTGTGCCCGGCCCCGGCTACAACAACCACTTGGGCTGACTGGTCCAGCGCAGCCCCGACTACTCCTCTACCCAAGCCCACATCTACATGGGCCCCTAAGATGCCTCGACGTGGACTGATGGCCAACCCGATCGCCGAGATTGTAAGCCGACAGAACTTCCTAACAGCCCCAGCACAGTGCTACCGCATTTACGATGCTGCAAGTCAGGCTGGCCAGGCAGTGGGATTGGTTTTCGACCTGCTCTGTCCATCTAGCACCACTTTCCAACAGGCTCTCACTCAGTGTCGTGCATGTTCTGAACAATATGCCAGCAGTGCGACAGGCACAGATACCTTCCCGGAGCTCCAAAACTACTTCCAATATTGCCAGACCCATACTTCGTGAGGAACGAGACCTCATCTCAACGGCGCTTAAGGTTGAAACTTCGGCGACTGGACCCCGAGATGCCGTCGGTGCTACCCGACTTGCCACTGAATCTCACATCGCAGACCTACATTAGCTCGGAATGTTGGGGATGAATTCCTCTGTACATCTCTGAAAAAGAGGCTTGGAAAGCATGGCAGAGCTGTTATACAGCATCAAGGACTGAGAAGCATCTCTTTATTGTATATACCCCTCATCTGCACGACATGCATCATCTCCTACTAAATCTAGGGCAAGCCTTGCGGATCTTCACACAAAAGCAGTCAGAAGAGGGGAATGTGGAAGCTAGCGAGATCAATGACTTGATTGTTATGGGAATGGAACGATGTCACTCCTTTACGACGGAACAGGCGTATACTCAGATAATCTTAATGCGAATGGCAAAAGTCATGTAGAGCAGCCTTCTCTTTTCAGTCTGTTACCCAATTTCAACTACGTGTGTAACCTCGAGCGTCCCAAATACGCTAGTATCACGCCCGCCGATTGAGGGGAGTCTTGATAAGGCACCGAAGACTTCCAAGCCGTGTATCAATCTCAGAGATAAACCTAACGCCCCCCCCCCCCCCCGGGGGGGGGTCTCATGTGCCAGCTGCTAGTTACTCTGGCGAACATTCAAGTGCTCCCTTCATGGCTCTAATAATGCCAAAAGTAAAACATCCGACTCACTCCAAAATGGCAAAAACTTATCCCAGAGCAGCTCAACCTACTGGTCTGTGATAAGGAAAACTCGCCCTTGCGGGTTGGTTTTTCTCACCCGGTTATACTACGAATTTTATACTACACGGTTAATTTTGTCAAATCGAGAATTGAAATCTCGCAGGGAGGGAGGAAGGAGGATTCGAATCAGGGTCCTGATGCCTGCTAACCCGGAGTTAGTTTTGACCTGAAAGGACCCAGAATGTGGCGTAATCGGGATTCGAACTCGGTACTCGCCCTTATTGTAGTAAGGGGGTCTTTGCGTGACAGAATTTGGAAAGAGAAAACATATATACAAGTGATTTTTGAACCTTTGTACCGGTACCTCTATGACTTGTC